ATACTATAAAAAAGTAATCTATATTTTCAAATATTATTATACCAAATTTCATTTGAATATTCTAAGTTGTTAAAAAATAGATCAGTAGCATATTTATAGTACCAACACAAGCAAATTTGCCTGTATTGGTCTACAATCTAAAGGATAGATATTACAAATTTATTACAATTAACTTTACTTTAAAATTGATAGTTATTTACACTAACTTTATTCTATATTTATTTATACACTTATCAATTAATCTACCAATAAACAAATACATACTACTATTATTCTTTTTTCTTTATCACACCATATTATTATCACACTTATTATCACACTCTTTATATCACATTTCCTAACTTATCACCTTTTTCTATCATACTTTCTAAAAATATTTTTTTTATATCCATCACTTATTCAACAAAAATCAGTCATATCTTAAGATTTTATTAAGCAAATCTTATCTAACCACTTAATAGCATTTGTTTCTGAGACTAAAATGTATATAATATTAAAATCTTAGAGTTATATCTATTAAACTCATTGAGATAATTAACAAAAAGTCTTATATAATCTAAATTAATTCTCAAATTTTGTTTACAATTTATCTAACAAAATTGATGATATCTCAAGATTTTACTAAACAAATCTTACTTGACTACTTAATAAGATTTATTTTTACAATTAAAATATATATAATATTAAAATCTTAGAGTTATATCTCTTAAACTTATCAAAATAATTAACAAAAAGTTTCATATAACCTAAAAATTTTGTCTATATTTATCTAATAAAAATCTGCTATATCTCAAGATTTTACTAAACAAATCTTATTTGACCTCATAATAGAATTTATTTCTAAGACCAAAATACATATAATACTAAAATCTTAAATTTGTATCTTTTAAATTCATCGAGAAATTTAACAAAAAGTTTTATATAGCCTAAACTAATTTTTCTTTGAATATTAATCACACAACATGTCTCAATATAGATTTTCTCACTACCAGCTTAATATCAATAATTCTTTGGACTAGTTCTAATCATTTCTTATTAACAATAAGGCAAAAAATCAAACTCAATTCTCTATACTATTAGATGTTCAAATACTTGATTTTGTTAAACTATTTCTCTAAAACTTCTATTCAGATAGAATTATTTCAACAGAGACAACTAATCAATACAGTACCAAGAGCAACTTTAATGATCTTTTACAAAATATAGCTTCCCAACAACCACAATTTGTTATAGATTTCATTCATCAAAATAAACCAAATATATATTATATTCTAACTATTTACTACTTACTCTTAAAGAAATTTTACTTAACTTTACTACTATCCTTTTCACTAAACTAAATTACAAAAAAATTTTTATTTCTACTATATATATGCTGATAAAATATTTTAGATTTCAGGGTACAAAATTAAAATTTAAAGACAAAATTGTTTTTGACCTATTTTACTTAAAAGACAAAATTTTTTGATATTTTTTTTGAAGAAATGAAATTATAAAGAATATAACTACCTAAATTAAATTTGTTCTTGCATATAAAAAATTCTAAATTGCTCTAATAGAGATAAAATAGGGTTTTTTTAAAAACCTATTTCAGTGGCATGTATAATTTCCACTACTTTCTACCACCACATTTTATCCCTAAATGTTCTCAAATTGCTATCAATTTTGACCATTTATACCTCTTTCTTCAAAACTAATACAAATGATTAATTACAAAAAATTTTTTAATGATTTAAATCTCAAATCTATTCAAATGATACTTTATTTTAATACTACCGTAATAGCGCGTAATAATGTACATGTGCGTTATTTTGAAATCTGCCTTTTTTGAAAATTGCATTTTTGAATCAAAATAACGCACATGCGCATCCCGAAATAATGTGCTCTCTTAAGTATACTTACAATGTATAACAAATACATAAGTACTGCTGAATAAAAATCTTTAAGTTTTCACTGTAGTAAATTTATCCACAAAGTATTACACATAACTTATTATTAACAGAATGTTTGATATATCTAACTGTGTTCATTGTAATACTAAAACTGCCCAAACACTGATTGATATATAAGATCAGGGCCCAAGTTCGCTACAATAAAATTTAAATATTTATTTCAGGTTTTTGTTCTTATGATAAACATGATGAATTAATTGCCGGTTGATTGTTAAATGTGAATAAATAAATTAATAAATATAATATTAACATAAGTTTTTAATCTTAAGTAAATGATTTTTTAAATTTTAAATATCTTTTATATTATTAGTATAAATTAGAGAGTACTATATATGAATTTGGTTCAGGTAATCAAATGATTACAGGATGATCGCTAAAATACTATATAATGATAAGCAATTTGTAATACAATTTTAATTTTTTTTCTTGTGAGAGTTATACTTTTGATTATCTTAGAATAAAATATTACCATGACTATCTAAAATTATTTATGTGAAGGGAAATATTGGTATAGATAATAGTTTACATTTAGTAATAGAAGTACAAATATTGTTCTACTTTTTTTTTATGTATAATAAATTATTTATATATTTTTAATATTTTACTATAACTATCCTTGCCATTTATATAATAATGGCATATTTAAGTAATAATGATAGTAACAAATAGCGATTTTTATAGCCCTAAGATTTTGAAGATTGTATATACCACTTTGGAATAGCAGCATAATTCTCAAAAATTCATATTAAGTTAGGCTGCACAAATTTAATATCTTGGTTTTCATAACATGAAACTTTTAAACAGACCTGGCTGGCCGGCTTTTTTTTAAAAATTTCATATATAAAAATTTTATAAAATTTTTTTAAATTTTTTTTAAAAAGCCTACCCGGTTATTAAAACATATAAAAAATTTTTTTTACAAGATTTCAAATTTTGATCTGGCCAGGTTATGAAAACCAATTAATTAATTTTGCATAGCCTTAATACTTATTTTTATAGCTTCGTAATTATAACAATGAAAAATGAAAACTAATTTTTATTTAATCAAAAATAGTTTAGATAAACCAGAATGATTGTAACCTATAAAAAATTGGTAAACTCCCCAAAAAAAATGCCAAAACGAGTATAGAAAATTCTAAAAAAAAAGGGTAGTGTTATAAATTTGTAAATTATTCATTTTTAATTTCATCCATACGAAATTCTTTATCATCAAATTCATTGTAAGTAATTTTATCAATACTAAATTCATCATTGATTTTTTCATCAAATTCATCATTGCTAATTCTTTTACTGCTAATTCTTTCATCAAATTCATCATTGCTAATTTCTTCATCAAATTTACTATCGCTATTGTTGATTTCTTTATCGAATTCATCAATGCTAATTCCTTCATCTGATTTATCATAATCATCATAACTATCTTCACAATCTAATTCATTTGTATCTGGCTCCTCCTCACTTGATTCTCTATGATTACATCATCCATATGATTCTCAACAATTGCCTAAAGCCACCTTGACATTTTGATATTTTCACTTTTATCGGGATTCAATGTGAGACTGGATGCTTCAAAAGATTTTATTAAAAGCTCCTGACTAATTTCTTTCTACACTTCGGACACCCACCTGCAAACTAATTTATACAATGTTTTTTTTGCGATTTCTACTTTTTGTAAATTCTCTTTCTTCTTTACACATCTACTCATTTCATTTTTTCTCATCCCATTTTTGAATAGTTTATTCACAGAGACATTGGGTGGTTGTAGTATACTAGTTGTTCTACTAGGAATTTTAATTACTTTCAAGCCTTCGGCATTTAATGCCCTGATCACTTTATCACGTGTATAACTTGTATAACAATCGACAAATATAATTCTTTTAAATATTTACGCAGATTAGTATAGTATAGGTAAGCAGATTAGTATAGTATAGGCTGGAATTTAGAATCTATACTATACTGATCCAGTGTTATTAAGATTGGCAAAAAGAGTATTTTAGAACTTTAGGATTTTTTCAGATAGCTATTTCGAAAATTGTTACTTAACATCTGAAAACAAAAAAAAACTAAATTTTAGCTAATTCCGTATTTATTTCTAAATTTTAGAATATTTTTTAAGAATTTGGAGCATTCTAAAGTAAAGTTCAAAATTTTTTAGAACATCTGAAACCCAACTTTTTAGGTATTATATATATTAGCATTAGGGTTAGTAATTATAGCTGATCAGTATAGTATAGATTCTAAATTCTGACCTATACTATACTGACCTGCTTATCTATATTATACTGACACAGGTTCAATATATAAATATCAGATTGCTATAAGATACCCGATATTTAAATAATATTTACTAATTAAAACTATAGATCTATCCTTTAAAATACCAATATACTTCAGATTTTTGGCACAAAAAGTAAACTATCGGTTTAAGATCATCAAACAAATATATTACAACTATTAGATATATATCAGATTTACCGATATACATCTTATTATTATTCGATATATTAAAAATTTAAGATCAATATCAGATAATTATTAGGCTAAAATATTTATTATATATAAAAACAATAATATATATATTTAATATTTTTTTTATTAATATAAATCAAAACATATTCAAATATTCAAACTCAATAAGATACATATTGGTATATATTTATTTAAAAATCTAGCCTTTAATATATATATTATTTATATTAGATAATACATTCTTTATTAAATATATGATACATAATTACAATAAAATTATCAAATATATTGATATTAATTAATATCAGTAAGAATTCCACTAATGAAAGCAACAAGATATTTTGTAGCACGAACACAAATACCTACATGCCATGTTTGTTTATATCCTGATGGTTGTAAACTCTAAATGTAAAAATAATAAATAAATGTTATATATATATATGACATAAATAATAATATATTAGACAAACGTTTATGAGAATTCGGAATACATGAAGTTAAAAATAGAATTAAATACTAATATACCTCATTTTCATTATTCAAATATAAAATTGGCCATTTGAATTCTTTTGTAAAAGACATAGATCCTTACGAATTTGATCACATGGCATGTTCTCTTCTATTGAACTATTATCATTAATTTATTCTAAAATAAATTATTATATTATAATAAGAATATACTTTAATTGAGATATAAAAGCATGAATATTAAATAAAAATTACCATGCTTTGGAACCGGCTGAGTACTCCAAAATGAGAACTCATATCCTTTTGTCTTTGTAAGCTACTGGCACTTGGCTGAGGAATCACGAATACCAGTATTCTTTAAAAATGCTAAATCATCTATAATTTTCAAGTATCTACTAGGTTTTAAAATTTTCGCATGTTCAATTATAAGGGTTTCAAATTGTTGTTCAGATAATTCACAAGTTAGGATATTTATAAGTATAATCCAAATATTGAATCTTCAAATAGGAGTGGGCCTAATTGAGATTCAATTTTTATAGTAAAATTTGGAAGGGTCGTGCTATTTTGAAGTGTGGTTTTGTGTCGATTTTTGTAAATAAAGCATTGGATATTCACCAAAGTTCTTGAATAAGACTGTTAATATAATAAATACTTTATCTTTTGACCAACAACATTCACAGATACAATAGGACACATGATGATAATTGACAAACCTGCAAGTCTTTGAAATAATTAATCCATTCTAACAATTATTATCAATATTAATTTCGCAGCTATATACTCATAGTCTTTTTCGATTGGTAACTCTATCAATTTCATTTCTTTATAAAATCTATTTGTTGTGTTGAGTAACTATGGTTTTGGTAAAAATCGATATGGCAAAGTTTATAAAGTATTAAAAAAGAATAGAATACCCAAATATTAATAATTACATAATGAAGAACTGGCACTATTAATCTTGCTGGCATTCTTCTTGATCGTATTTCTTGTATTGGTATATTTGGCAATGAAAAACTAGAAAGAAACTAATTAGATAATATGAACAATGGTAGTAACAAATTTCGATAGTATAATTAATTAATTTTGCTAATGAATGTGCTCAAAGAAATGGCTTTGGTAAAGATGAAATGTTTTGAGAATTTTGATAGTGATTGTATGAACATTTTAGACACGCTGTTTCAAGAATGACATTAATGGCGAATACTGGAAGGTAGAACAAAACCATAAAACTAGACTTCAAGGGATTGAATCTCTAAGTTTTTGACTCGCTATATTAATTGGATAAATTAAATGATAAGAAATTTAAATTTTTTTTTTTTTTTTGGTGTTAAGGTGGCCTCTTGGCCGGCTCCTTTTATTCGGTTATAGTTAACTTTTACAA